AAACATTAATATTTAATATTCTTTAAGGAACAAGTGAAGTGAGTAGTCTAAGATAATTGGTAAAACTGGCTTCATAGATCAGTATGTTCTACTTGACTCCTCCAGAGTTCTTCCTCAGCTTCTGAACTAAGATTCTTTCAGTCCTGAATTCTGGAGATGCCCATGTTAATAAGTGACAGGTAGGTTGAGAGAGCTACAGCCTGGGGAGTCCTGTTCCTTGAGTCTAGTCCTGGTCCTGCAGCTCCTTCATAGACAGTCTTGTACAAGTTACAGTTTCTTCTTTTACCAAATGGGAGCAAAAATCCCCCCAAATCCCGAGATAATCACAATTATGTGTTTGCCTCAGTTTCTTTCTCTGTAAATGATACTCACCTATTTTACAAATTTAAACAGCTGATTTTTCTATATAGCTTTAAGGCTGGTAAAGTATTTATATGACCACTTTTTTGTTTTTGTTTTTGTTTTTTGGCTAGGCAATGGGGTTAAGTGACTTGCCCAGGGTTACACAGCTAGTGTTATGTGTCTGAGGCCACATTTGAATTCAGGTCCTCCTGAATCCAGGGCTGGTGCTCTACCCACTGAGCCACCTAGCTGCCCCTATATGACCACTTTTGATGCTTGCAGCAATCCTGTGGGGTAAATGCTCTTAAAACACTGTAGAAATGAGTAATTATTAGATGGCTCCTATGGTCCTCTTAACTGGAAGTTATCGGCTTAATGGGCTGGACTGGGTCTCTGGAGCCCATGTGGTCTGATGAAGCTAAGAAAATCCACTGGGATCCTGGGTGGGCCCAAGGCAGAGATGGAGGAGATGAGAAACAAAGGGCACAAACAGAGCCAGAGGATAGTAGAGGCCAGAGAGAAAAATAAGAGAAAACAAGAGGGTCAAGCAGTTTAGCGGAAGCAGGCAGATCACTGTCAGGACAGCATCTATACATTATAACCTTGTTTGTTCTCAAGGGCCTATGAAGGGGCCTCCCTGATAAATAAATCACCCCATAACAGATTTCAGGAATTTTACTTCAGGAGTCACGTGGCTATTGTAAGGGCCAGCACCTGAACATAGATAGCTCTAACTACAAAATCAATGTTCCTTCCACTGATTGAGGGATCTTCCTATTTGACAATAACACTGAACTCCACTCTCTCTGTTCCCAGATAGTCTTGCCTTTATATCAAATTTCACTCTACAGTGAAGTATTACAGTGGGATTCCAGTGGAATCTAATGTTTCAAGATCACTAAGCAGGAAGTCAACAATTCATTCACCCCTTATGAAGAGCTGCCTGGCCCTGGCACCAATTCACCCATGTGCAAGTTCCCTTTTTGAGCCTGTTTCTTCATCTGCAAAATCAATTGGAATAAAAGTCATTTTGAGCTTTAACCTTCAACACTCGGGGTCCTGAGACACATATACATGAAAGGGAGATGTCTTTAAAAAGCAAAACACTTTAAATTTGTTCCCTTCATGAAATGTATCAATACAAATCCTTCCTTTTCAATGGTAATGCATTGTGAGAAATAGTATTTCTTTCCATTTCCTACATTTGAGAGTTGGATTGAAGGACAAAATTGACATACTCAATTTCTTGATTAAAAGCTCAAGGTAGAAAGTTTTGAAGGCAGCTTGTATCAATAAAAGAGTACATAAAAGGAAAACAAGCTGGTCCTGAGAAAACCCTTAAGTATGTAACTATTCAAGGTAGGGTGGAACATGATGGGGAATACATTCCAGATCTAGACAGGAAACAAATTGTATATTCTGTAGCTAGGCTTTCTTTGAACTAAGTCACTAGCCACACAGGTTAATTACTATATGAAGACCACTGGGCTAGGAAACAGTAGAGAGGCATCATATGCAAGCAGAAAGGATTTGGAGTCACATCTGAGCTCAGTTCATCACTGAATCTGCTACTTACCTGCGTGACCCTGGACACTCTTGAGCTTGTTTCCTCACCTGTAGAACTGTTTAACAACATATCCTCTGCTTTCAACTGGCTTGGATCACAGAATTAGAGCTGGAAGGGACCTGAGAGGTCACGTAGTCCAATCCTTTCATTTTACATGTGATCATGAAACTGAGACCTAAGGATCTTCAGGGGCTCACTGGGATAGGTTATCTCTCACATAATATGTGTTCAAGAAATCCTTTCCTGTTGTCTGATAAGAGTTGAGAAATTTTGGGTATTGATACAGTGTCAATTTGCCCTACTTACAAAATCAAATCAGTACTCCAATTTCCTCCAAGAGCAGAATCTACAGATGTGCAGCTCACAGCACCATCTACTGCTGTAATTGAGAATGACTTAAATTTTAGTAAAAAAAAAAAACAGGCTTCAGAGCTACAAAGGATATTTAAAAAAAAATCAAGATATACATGTATATATGTATGTGTATATTGTGTATACACACACACACACACGGGAAAATTAAGGTTCAGGGAAGGAAAAATAATTAGCCCCAAGTCAAATAAAATGTAGCGCTCCTTGGATCCTAAATCTTGTGTTCTTTCTACTACGTCATTAAAGTATGGAAAACTTTTGATTTTTTTTTTAACTTATTTTAGAATACTAAGAGGACTGAGTGTCTTAGGGGACTTGGGAGGCACAAGGTCTCACACAGATATCAAATGTGTTACAGGTTAGGAGGAGGAATCACTTCATCTCTTGTTTATAAAACGGAGGTATTGGATTCTGATCTTTCAAGTTGCTTTCCAGACAGATCGGTGCTATTCCAGAAGTCTCATTTTCCTATTAACTAAGTTTATAGTTTTGTGATTCCCAAGGATGCCAAAGGTTTTGACAGTTTTAAAAACCTTAATTATTTACTTTGAAACCTTACTCACAGAACAGCAAATGAGAAGTAGTCTATTTTACACAGAATAAAGCTTAATGAAAGGCAGGTTGACTGAATGCTGGATATAACCCCAGATCCAATATTCTTTTCAGTACACCAGCCTGGGTTTAAATTTGACCTTCCCTTCCCTGGTTTGAAAGGCATAAAATTTTAGTAGTATCTCTTTAGAATTCAAAGCCCAAGTCACTTGCCTTAATATTATCCCAATGTTATTAGGAGAAGGCAAACGTAACCCAAGTTTAATAATGAATGCTGACTCATCCTAGATGACCCAGCAATTGGTACCAGCTATGAGATTTAGAACCTGGCTCACTCCACTTTGGTGAAACAATCTAGACATGGATAGGTGAAAACACTGACTAGATGAAGAGTGCTGTTGAAGAGTGTATATTGAACGCTGTATTTCTTTGAGTTGGAAATGACATGAAGATTAAATCTGTTTACCTCAAATCAGATCACGTTGTCATTTTAAATAGTAAGATTATGCAAAAAAGTAAAAGAACTTCCAAGTCCTGTGGCTTCTATTTTTTCTATTTGAGATAGTTTGAGACTCTTCTTCGCACTGGGAGAGACTAATCTGTTGTGTGTTTTTTGTTTGTTTTGGTAACGTTACTGCACAGTTTTGTAAGGCCTATTCTTACCAATTCTTATAGAAGTAGGTCTTTTGTCAGTAGTCAAATTAGGTAAGGAGATTTTATCCCTTTCCATACGTACGTTTAAAATGTTTAAATTTTTATATTTATAGCACTGGTCTTGGGGCCAGAAGAGGTAGGTTTGAAGCCCAGCTCTTCTACTTTCAAGCCTGGCTGAGTGATCTGAGACAAGATACTATACCTATTTGGGCCTGTTTTCTTATCTGTAAAATGGTTTTGGACTAAATGATCTCCGGGATTCCTTCTAGCTCTAATAGTCTGTAAGTTTTGTAGAAAGTACCTTGGACTTGGAATCAAGAGACCTGGGTTTTTATCTTATTTATACTAAGTCACTTTCCCCTCCCTCTCTGAGCCTCAGTTTGTCCATTTGTAACATGGTGAGAATGTAACCTACCTCACAGGCATGAAGTATTTTGCAATCCTTAGAGCAATAATAATCTTTATTTTTTCACCTTGGCCCCATAACCTATCATTGAAAACTCAAATAAGAAGCTCTTAAGAGGGAGGTGTAAAAGAAAAAGTTGCCCTCCTTGAAGAACTGTTTTAAAATTTGAGAGTTAGTTACTTTCTGCCCCACGAGCAGAATATTTGATGAGACAGTTTATCAAATGGAGTCGAATTTTTCCCTTGGTGAAACATATCTCCTAAGTCTTACAGAAGGCTGTGGGGATTTAGGTGTGCACATTTAGGAACAAATTTATACTACTGATACAGCTACAGGTTGCTGATTTTTCTTTTTTAGCCATCATAATACCCAAAGACAGTTTATCAATTCCTAGGCGGCTGTGAACTGATGCAGCGTGGGGAGCACTGACCCCAACAAAAGAACAGATCTTTTTTAAGTATTAAGGTGCTACCACTAGTGCACTGGGCAGTCAAAAGCAACTTGTAATAGTCTAAGTACACCATCACTCTTATGAGAGAGGGACAGCCAGCTAAAATGGCTGAATCAAGACATTTCTTATAAACAATACATTTCTTGCTTTACTCTATCATGCAGACATTTTCACAGAACCTCAACAATTGAAAGGGACCTTACAGGTAAACTAATCCAACCCTTTTACATTTAACCTAAGTGGGCTGTCTTTGCTTAAAGACCACGAGTGAGGAGGACCCTATTGCCTCCAAGAGGAAAACGATTCCACCTTTGGATACTCGATTGCTACAAAGTCTTTCCTTCCATTAAGCTGAACTTGAGTTCTTCATAATTTTGTACTCAATGTCCCTAGCCCTGCCATTTGGGGCCAAGTAGAACACATCTAAGCTCTCTTCTGCGGCAGCCCTTTTGAAGGTGGAAGGGGCCTTGGAGATTTTCTGAGTCTAACTTTCTCATTAGATGAGGAAACTTAAGGCCCAGAAAGGAGAGATTTACCGAAAGTCACATAGGTAGCAACAGAACTAGGATTCAAATCGAGATCCTCTGAAGCCAATACCATGTGTCCCCTTCTCCATCCCAACAACCCCAGCAGAACAAGACAAGACACAAGTCTTCTGCCATACTAATGTATTCCATCTTTCAAAAAGAAAGACATGATTTTAATATTACTTAACAATATGTTAAAAAAGTAGCCAGTCAGGCTTCAGTGTTAATACAATTATACACTCTATAACAGATTTGATAGTGTGAGTATTGTTCTTTTTTCCTTTTTTTTTTTTTAAACTTTCTCGTTCTGCAAGTATTCTTACACAAGCTGGCTACAAGTCAGGGGGGAAAAAATCAAACACAAATAGCGTAACTTGTACACTCTTAAACAGTAGATTGTGAAAGAGAACTCAAGAAATGCTTGTCCCGTCCGAGCCTCCTTTCCATGAAGTCATGGTGGGAATAATTCTGGAGCAGATGAAAGCAGCGCCGACGATGAGAGGTCCAATCCTTTATCATGGATCAGGATGATGAGAAAACAGAGCTAGATGCGGGCGAGTGTGGCAGGAGCCACTGCAAATGATGCAAACGAGTGTTCTGGCCTCCACCCAAGCCTGGGAAGCAGCTGATAGTCTCTGAGGCCAAGGCTATCAGGAGGAATTGGAAAAAAGCTATTGTTCCAACTCCCACAGCGTACAGCTACAATCAAATAAACCTCACTCACAGACTACAAGCACACAAGCTAACAAATTCAGGTAGAAAGTGGCGATTTCTCAGGCCGCAAGAATTCTCAGGCCAAGTGGTTCAGTGCAGACCCACACGGCACTGGGGACAAGGCAAGGCAGCACTGGCTCAGACCCGAGAAAAGCTCTCAGCACTCGCAGCAGGAGGGCAGGGCAGGGCAGGGCAGGGCAGGGCAAGTTTCCTGGACTCCTGCAGGGCTTCCTCCTGAGGCTGTCTCCATTCAGTGGGCAGCAAAGGTCGTTTTTTTCAAACTAAAATTGGACCAGTTGATGGAAAGTCTCTGCCTTGTCTGTCTTGCAGAATCCAAGCAGAACCTATAAAAATACAAAGCAAAAGAAAAAAAAAGAAGGGAAACAAAAAGAACAACATTCTCAGCCCCAAACAATATCATTTACACAAGTAAGTAGTTTCCCTGAAGGTTTTTATAAGCTGTTACTAACTCGCTGTATAACTTTGGAAAAGTTACTTTGTCCCTTTCTATAGACCTGTTTCCTCATCAGTTAAATGAGTTAGATTAAAAATAGCCTACATTTCAGTAGCACTTTAAAGTTTACAAAGTGTTCTCCTCAAAACAATTCTATGAAGTAGATGGTCTAGAAATTATCACCCCTCCCCCACATTAGAGATGAAGAAAACAAGGCACAGAAATGAAGTGACTTGCCCAAAGTTCAAAGTTAAGTGTCAGAGCAGGGATTAGAATCCAGGTCACCTGACTCCAAGTCCAAAGGCCCTTTCTATTGTACTACTCATGTGTACCTCTACTAGACAGATCTATCACTAAAATCCCTTTCATTTTTAAGGTTCTCTGATACGTCACTTTGCCCATTACTCCTAATTATCGAATCACTGACAACATATTAATTAACAATATGTTAAAAAAGCAGCCAGTCAGGCTTCAGTGTTAATACAATTATACACTCTATAACAGATTTGATAGTGTATTGTTTTTTTCCTTTTTTTTTTTTTTAAACTTTCTCGTTCTGCAAGTATTCTTATACAAGCTGGCTACAAGTCAGGGGGGAAAAATCAAACACAAATAGCGTAACTTGTACACTCTTAAACAGTGTAGGGAGTATTGAAAATGGCAAAATACAATTACCCAATTTAATTCTACTCAAACAGAATGTTAGCCAGAGTTTTAAGGGCAGTTGGCTGAAGTCAACGATTTAGTCCCTGTTATGTACTTATCACTGGTTCTTCATACCAATCAAATACTTAGTGTAATGGACATTTTGGGTTACAATGCACAAAAAACTCATCAAAGACAAAAAAAATCTACATACAAATAGTCTCAAATATATAGAAACATGTTCAAGTACCCCCTCAATATATGGAAAGGCTACATTCCAGCCAACTTGACTGTGAGGTGAAGTTCTCTAGGTGTAATGATGTTTTGCACTCAGAACTGGAAATGCTGCCTTCTCCCCACTGCCTCCTGCAGCCAGACTTTGGTGCTTGTCATGAAGTGAATATGACAGAGATGACCTACGAAATCCTCAATTCTAGATGCTATAGCATTTCCATTTCTCAGGGAAAATCCCATATTACTATGTGCATAATACCTTTTGCGTACTCTACTTTTTTTTCAGGAACAGGTAAGGACATCTGTTAGCTTCCTCTCTTAGAATGTGAATAACCAAAGCAACTTCTTATATTGGGAAAAGGCAAATATTTCACAGAGAGAACTAATTGTGAACAGTGGTTTACCAAGTATGGTGCACAGACCACTGACTGCTCATGAGGTTTTTCTGGGTAGTCTGCAAAAGGTATACTTTGTGTAGAAGTGTCAGTAACTTCCCTACTCTAAGAATTAATTCCTTCATCTGTAAAATGGAAATAAAAATTTACACTGCCTACCTTCAGAGGTAATGGATGTGAAGTAAAAACTAATGTACTGTACAAATGTGAGCTCTGAGTACTTTTCCTCTCTGTAAATCCTACTCTGAGACCTCACCATAGTGCTGAGATGACACTGGGTTCTCAAGGGTGTGTCACCAAGCATCAGTTTTGAAGGAGAAGCCTATTCATGTACACAGAGGCATATCAGTAGCAAACTGGCCACTAGGTGATAAATTCTTTGGAAACAGCAACCCACGAAACCAAGAAAATATAAAACAGCCCTCAGTTTTGTGTGGTTTCTTCCACTTCTACAATGATGGAGGAAGATGGTGAAGGGGCACAGGACAGATGAAGAAAATGTTGTAAAATGTGGTTAAGATTTAAGAAACAAAAGAGGCCAAAAGTTTGTGGACTACATAAAAGCCTCATACTTATACTCAAAGTATTCATATGATGACTACTTTGTTCACAAACAGAATTAGGAGGCGCTGGATAGGCCAAGTACTAAATAAAGGAAAAAACTACAACTTAAATAGATGTGGAAGGTGTCTTCCCTCTGTAATTATCTCAACACTGCCCCTCCCCCTACATCAACTGTCTGCTTAAAACAATTAAGCAAAGACATCTGATACAGATGGATACCGGGGATACTTACAAATGAAAGGGATTTTAGTGATAGATCTGTCCAGTAGAGGTACACATGAGTAGTACAATAGAAAGGGCCTTTGGACTTGGAGTCAGGTGACCTGGATTCTAATCCCTGCTCTGACACTTAACTTTGAACTTTGGGCAAGTCACTTCATTTCTGTGCCTCGTTTTCTTCATCTCTAATGTGGGGGAGGGGTGATAATTTCTAGACCATCTACTTCATAGAATTGTTTTGAGAACACTTTGTAAACTTTAAAGTGCTACTGAAATGTAGCTTCATTTCTGAAGCAGTTATGTATAGTCAGACACACTGATTTGTTAAGAGTCAATATAAAAGACCAATACCTAACTAGATGAATAAAAAAAGAAGATACAGCATGTTGTTAAAAACAACTCTGACCTGACCTGCTTAAATAAGTTAGCAGATGCTGAAAAATGGATGAGAATATCAATGGGCTAACACCAAATCCTAAGGAAGTTGAAGTATCTTTTGAACAATCATTATAATAAGGAAAACAAAACAGCCTAGAAACTACCTCTGCTAGCCAACCATTTCTTTCCCAGATGGAGACATGTGTCAAACAAAGGCAATTATCATCTGAAGAAATAAGGGGGCAGCTAGGTGGTGCGATAGAGCACCAGACCTGAAGTCTGGCCTCAGACCAAACATTTGACACTTACTAGCTGTGTGACCCTGGGAAAGTCACTTAACCCCAATTGCCTTAAAAAAAAATAGAAAAAGAAAAAAAGAAACACATTTATAAAATCTTACAGGAGGATGGTGGATGATTATTAACAGTATTATTTCATAAAACAGAAACATTGGAAGGAAAAACAAGGCTACAGAGAGTTTGCCCAGATCATTCTAAAAGCATGTAAGGAAGAACCTGGAAAAGACCTGTCAATATTTCTTTAACAAACTATATTCTCTAGCAGGGGGGCATTTGGACTCTTAACACTGCATTTCCCAATGTGCTTGGATAAGCAAGTAGAAAGGGCACAAAAGAAAACAAAGGAAAGAATAGTTGGATCAAACCAAGCATATACAGAAGAGTTCATGGTAGAGGTTACAATTTTGAGAGCATTGAGAGATCATTTCTTCTCAAGATATTTGGAACAGGAGAAGAAAATAAAAGCTTGGGGAAAATTTTGCATGTTTTTGTTACTGAAAAAAAAAAGCCAATAAAGAAAATTTCAGAATCACTGACTCATATGCCTATTTCCCCCATCTTCACAAAAATCTTTTCTTTTTTTTGCCTTTTGGTTAAGCCAATCAGGGTTAAGTGACTTGCCCAAGGTCACACAGCTAGTAAGTATCAAGCTCCTGAGGCCAGATTTGAACTTGGGTCCTCCTGACTCCAAGGCCAGAGCTCTATTCACTTCGTCACCTAGTTGCCCCTCATAAAAATCTTTTTAAAAAACCACTGAACTTAATTATTGATAGATTTTAATACATAAAAGACAAAAAAAGGGGACTATATATGAAACTGTAAACCTACTACGTACATAAATTTAATAAGGTAATAAAAATTGTTTTCACAAAATCTTTAAGAGAATTTATATATACCAAGGGCATCTTTATCACATTTCTATAGCATGAAAGGTGCAGAATACAAAATCTCATAAATCTCATGTTATTTGTGGACTACAAAATATCACTTGATTCCATAGAGCAAAATGACGCTTCATTTCAAGGTTTTTCCTCCAAAATGGAGTCTCCTATGCATAAGTCAAAATCAAACAAGATTCCTTAAACAATGCAGCAACAGAAATAAATGGCTTGAACAATGCTCTGATTATTATCAAAACAATGCATTTTCCCAGTCATCTAGGTTCCTAATTTGAGAATCCACTTCCAATCTGGTCTCCCTTACTCTTCTTTATATACGGTAAGTTGCTATATCCTGTCAATTTTATCTCCACAACATGTCTTAACATCACTCTTTATTTTTCCACACACATGGCCATCACTCAGTTGTAAGCCCTTATTTCCTCTTGCCTGAACTATTATATAACCTCTTAATTGGTCTCACAGTGCCTCAAGTCTTTTCTCTCTCTAATTTTTGTTCCACACAGCTGTGAAATTGATATTCCTAATGCATGGATGTGACCATGTTACTCTTCTATTCAAAAAGCCCCAGTGCCTCCACCTTGCCACTAAAATGCATTTAAGCGAATGTTTGGCATTTAAAACCCTTCAAAATACGGCGCTAGCCCATCTTTCCCTTCATGCACACTTATGTTCTGGCCAAAATATCCTCTTTGCTATTACTTCTATGCCTTTGTCAATGCTGTCTCCCCTGACTAGACAGACCTCTTCACCTGCTCATTTTTACAATCCCTAGCTTTCCTCAGGGAATTCAATTTAAGTGCCAATTCTCACATGACCTCTCCTTTCAGACTCCCAGTTGTTAGTGACATCCACTAAATTACTCTGTATATAATTTGTATTTACTTATTGCTGTACATTACTGCCCTCCCCCCAAAAGGATGCAAAAGCAGAGCAATTTCAATTATCTTTGCATCCACAACACCGGGCACAAGGTCTGATACCTAGTAGGTGCTTAATACATTGTGTTGAATGAATGCATTAAACAGGGTGACTGCTCAACAAATAAGTTGTCCACTGTAATGAAAAATGTCCAGACTGGAGCCCAAATATCCACACGTGAATTTGCACGAGTCGTTTCCATTTGTTGGCCTGTTTTCCCATTTATAAAGTGGTGGGCCTACACTACTGTAATAACCTTCTGGTTGGCTTCCCTGACTCAAGCCTCTTCCCAACCTCCACTGAGCTGTCAAAATAATCTTCCTTAAGTGTAGGTCTGACTAAGTTACTCCCACCATTCAATAAATCCCAGTGGCCCCCCATTCACTTCTAAGATCAAATATAAAATCCTCTGTCTGGCTTTTAAAGCTCTGCATAACCTGCCCCTTCCTACCTTTCCAGTCTTCTTACATTTTACTCCTTGTCATGTATTCTGTGATCCGGTGATATAGACCTCCTTGATGTTCTTTGCACAGGAAATTCCATCTCCCAACTCCAAGAATTTTCACTGAGTATCCCTCATGCCTCAAACCCTCTCTCTCCCCATATCTCTGCCTCCTGGTGTCTTGGTATTCCTTTAAGTCTCAGAAAAAGCCCTCCCTTCTACAAGAAACTTTTCCCAATGTTCCTTAGACTGTCTCTATCTTGTTTGCATACAGTTGTTTTCATGTTGTCTCCACCATTACATTAAGGAGTGTCTTTCACCTTTCTTTGTATCCCCAGAACTTAGCACAGAGCCCAGCACATGGTAGTCACTTGAATGCTAGCTGCCCGAGTAGATAATGTTCAGGGTCCCTTCTTCCTCTAAAATCTTACAATTCTATAAACATAAGAACTAATCCAGGAGGTAGTAAGAACTCAAGTATTTATGACCAGGCCCAGCAGAGTGAAGTTGATTCAAAACACAGAATACCTTCTATAGGGCCTTAAAAATGCTAAGACTTAGCTTAGCATGAAAAGACTGAAAGGAAAGAGCTTATATCGGAATATAGAGTTATTCTGAGTGCTACTGAAAGAAAATGCCTTAATCATCTATTTATTTATTTGATTATTTTTGCAGAGGCTGAGGTCAAACTGAAAAATTAACTTCATAAAGTCACTCAGTATCTATAAATAAAGACTATTACTATTCACTACTGACAATTGGACCATTGTCAACTACAGCACAACATCAATATTTCAAGCTTTAGAGGAAAGGATTACTGATTGACTTGACTGAAAGATGTCAATATCTCTCCTTGTGAACCAAGCAGAATAGACAGGTAGTTTCTTTCAAACAATGGATGTTTTCTATAGGCTCAATATTTGATTATGAAATATAAACTTGCTGGTATGAAAAGATGGGTTGGTGGAAAGAGTCCCTGGAGTTAGTGTCAGAAGAGCAGAGTCCAACTTACTAATTATATGGATTTGGGCTAATAATTTCATTTCTTTGATACTGTTTCTTCATTTGAAACCTAGGAATAATAACACTGTCCTAAGCAACCTCAAAGGAATTATGAGGATCAAATAACATAATTTATATAAAATATTTTACAAACTGAAAAATGCCATAGAGATACATATTGCTATTATTTCAAATCACTATTATGGTCAACAAATCTAATTTGATAAAACATCTACCATTAAGAATTTGCTAATGTTACCGAGGTTACAAAATAAAATGGAAAGGGCATTGAATCTGGAATCAAAGGGCCTGAGTTTGAATTCTGTTTCTGCTACTTATTTGTATGACCTTGGTCAAGATACTTCTCCTTTTATGGCTCTATTTACAAAATGAAGGTGTTGGAACAGGTGGTTTCTAAAGTTTCTCTCCTGAAGTTCCAAATAATTCTATTTCTCAAAACACGAAAGTCTAAAGCATTGGGTCATGAATTCCCAGTTAACCCTGGGACATCTATTTACAGAAAAAATTAGTCAGTTGGTATATTAAGTATTTTAAAAGTAAAAAAAAAAAATCAAAGCTGTGATTTAGTACTTGCTTCATTTCCAGAATTCAAAGTGTTCTGCCTAAAAGTAAGAGTTTACTTTCATCTGAGTCTTTAAAAACATGAAACTGACTGCTTCGCTTATCTCTTTACTGGTATAATATGCCACACGGCATGATGAATGCCTATTTCTTAAAAGAGGAGGGGCAACCTCTTATCACCAGAGGGGTAAGTGATTTGCAAAGGTCTGTAAAGTTCAGAAGATCAGTCATTAGCATTTACAACCTCTGAGTATCCACTAGTAGTGAAAAATACTAGTAGCTTTAGAGGCTTCTTCTAAGACACCACTGAAGCTCTACTTTTGTACAATTCCAAAACTATGTACCCAAACAAGGTGGAGGAGCTGCAAAATTCCATAAATCCAAGACTACCACAAACCCAGTGCCCAGAGCTACTCTTATTTCATTTGACACTAAGGTAGTAATTTTTAAGTGGCACACTTTAATGTCTGGGTTCTTGTCACTGACATATATTATTCAGAAACATTTCTGAATGGGAAAAGGCTGTAGCCTACTCTGTGCAATGTACTGATATACACACTGAGAGGAATACAAATTATGTGATTATTATCTCTACACAATAATCTCAACAAAAATTGTTCCATACTAGTTGGAAAGGACAGCTTTTACTTCTGAGATTTATATGGTTTTCCTTATAAGTCTGTAGCCAGACTAGATCACTGGTCCTTTGAAAGAGGCATCAGTAGTTGAGGCCTTGGAAGGCCTGAGCAGATGTATTTGGAAGCATAGTTCATCCTCAATTTAGGACAAGAATAGAAAAGGTGATAAACATGGTTTGTTTCACCAAAGCCAGACTTATCACAGAGTTAACAAAGGATGGTAAAAAAACCATAATCTCTCCCCAAATTCCAACTAATTCAGAATACTTTCACTGGTCCCCCTAAACAGTGGTCACAAAGCTCATACAGCTTATCCCATAAAAGCCTTTACTCAGGAGCTACAGTCCTAACTCCATAACATCATTTTATACATAATTCTAACAAGAAGCCCAGTAGTCCAAGGTCCCTTCAGGTAGGTAGCAAAAGGCTCTACAAACTTCGACAGCTCATGAAAACACCACTTTGTTACTGAATGGCAACATATTGAAAAGCAGGAAACTTCTAAGAATTTCTGCTGGTGGAAAGGGCAGTGGGAATGACAAAGAAAAATGAAAGGAGAATACTGAACAAGTAACCACCACTCTGTCAGACACAAATTATAACATTTACCTTTTAAAATACTCCACTTCCCTCTCGGTCTCATCCATATCCACACTGTCTAGATCAATATCTTTGGGCAAAAATACATCATCTGCAAAATCAATGAGAAGAGGGAAAATTAACATAAACTGGTTATATCACTAAAAAATAAACCAGAACAAATTTTAACTCCAGGAACTGGCTGCAACAATTTTACAGATTCATCTTTCAAAAAACTTATTAAAAAATTATAACATGCAAACATATAAAACATTAAAACATGTAATAATATTATAACCTCACAAATTATTTTTAAATTTTCAAAACTAGGTAAAAAGAAAGTAGATTTATCTTTTTTGAACTATTATAAAATATGTGGGCTCAGGTGTTTTGCCACCTTTATGTCTACTCATATCTTTCCCTATGCCTGGAATGCTTTTTATCCACTTCTACCTGAAGTCATCCCACCCATCCTTTCAAATGCCACCTATTTCACAAAAGCCAGAGGCTCGTAGAAGGCAATATTCTTTTTCCCCTCAGATGCAGATCTCTGCATCTCTTTTTGTTCATATAATGTTTTGGGTGGTTATTTGTGTCTACGTCTTATTTCTTCTACTAGACTCTAACAACCATGAGGGAAGGGCCTGTATCTTATTCATCTTTACATCTTCTTGCCCTCCTTGTTAGTCTTAAGTATTATGTGATGTCATAATGGGTACTTATTACATATTTGTAGATTCTCACTGATTTCATGTACCCTTATTTCCTTGTTCAAACAATATTATGCCAAAGACTTAAACAAAATGTGCTAAGTTTTTACAAACAAAACAAAACTCTACTAAATTAAATTTGTTTATTGAGACTAAGATGTGCTAAAGGAATAATGATTATAAAACGGTGATAGAAGCAAAAAGGACAGTTTTAATAGCGAATAAAATTGTGGCAAGTTCATATATGCTGTACTTTTTGCAGCATGGTCAAAAGGGCTGGTAGAATAACACTACAGTTATAAAAAAGGATGCACTAAAACTAGATGTGGAGTCTATGTACTTAAATTTTAGAAATAACAGTTGCAATAAGATGGCTATTTGAAAAGTTGTGATCTTTTTTTTATAAAAATATTCCTAAGATTGCACTTCAAGGTGGCTAGCATAAAACCTGTCATGTAAAAGCTGAATGTTTGTTTACTGACTGACCTCAAGTAGCATTTGACAGATTATCAACATGAAAATCAGTCATCATTTGATTAAAATGAGTCCTTCATTAAAAATAAACTAGAAGGCTAGTGGAAGGAAGGCCTTCCACAGGTTGGGTAGATTCTCTATGGAGGATTTATAGAAGGGCATGAGCAAGAATCACACAGAATGAGAAGGTATGTATTCTATACTGGTGGAGGTAATGCCCAATACCAAGGAGATACATTATTGAAGCATTTAAATATAAGAAAAACAGAGATTAAAATGCCATGCCTTTTAACAGTGATAACTAAAAAAAATCTAATTCTAACACAACTTATATATCAATAACAATGCTATCAATTCAATACAAGTCAGTATTTGAGTACTTACTATAAGCAGAGCCTCATACAAAGTGCTGTGGGGGAGACAAGAGAAGTGTCTCATATTTTACTGATCATCTGTGAAGTAGGATAATACATACTAAGGCTTTTTTTTCTTAACCTTAAATTGAAAGCTGTCTATGCTAGTAGACTTGCCTAATTTCTGCTGTATAAAAACACAGATAGAGAAGAAATTAATTCTAATTTTTCAGTTATTACTACAGGCTTTAGATTATAGTGAGATTTAGATTAGATGTGAAGAATATAACCATAAGTATAATAAAATTATGTTAGGAGACTAATACTTCAATAAACTGTGCTTTCACTGGAGAGTGCACTGCCTTCTACCTGGGTAGACCACAACTCTCCTACATCTGAGCTGACTTGTCTTCATAAGTTGCTATGGCTGAAGAAAATCATCACCTCTCTGATGACGAGCCTTTTGCATTTTCTAGGTTGGTTTTCTGCAACCAGACATACTGTTCCCAGTTAGGCTAATGTTCAAAGTCTTTCTAAGACTGGTAAGACTTGCTAGAGTTTATACTCTCCTGTATTTTTAGCTTTTGAAAACCTAGGATAACCTCCATAACATAAAGAGCTATTTTTAATGGAGGAGTAAAACACACAACTCTTTTAATTATTTGTGACTAAGTGGTTTGCACATTCACATTCCATATGCAAAAACATATTTACTTATGAATTTTAAAAAAGGATATGACTTCAAAAAAATAAAACCCCAAACGCAACCTACTCACTCTAGAAATGGCAAGTTAAGAAGGAATCATTATGGTCTAGAATAACAGAGGAGAACAGCAACAGAAGATAATTAGGGGTCAACAGTTGTGAATGTACTCCTTTTCTTATTTCCCCATTTCCTTACCCATAACTCTGGTAGTTTCCTCCTAGACTCGGACCCTCTTTGCGTTAGGCAAATGAGTGAAAGGGTTCTGCTGTGTGAAGAATTAATTGAGGGTTGGGACAGCTTAGGGGAAAAGATAGTTCCATATAAACAGAAGCTGCTGAAAGCCACTTTCTGTGAATGCCAGATGTAATATTCCTCTTACCCTCACCGCTGCTTGAAAGACTAAGATCCAAGATTAGAATCAAAACCATAGGCAACATTCACAAGAACTCAGCCAACAATATGTTGACAATAAACAATGAATAACTGCATGAATGAAGCATTTATTAAGCGCTTACTATGTGCACAGCACTGTGCTAACTGCTGGGGACAGAAATAACAGGAAAGCAAGACCATCCTTGCTCTCGAGGAACTCACATTCTAATGAGAGAAAACACACTGGTTAAGTTAAACGGATTTAAGAAAAAGGAGAGGTTTATGATGGCAATTCAGCACCAGATCGTCATTGCCACCAGAAGCCACAGAAGGGCTATCCTTAAAAAAGGCTGATCAATGTAGATTATGCAAGGAAATGACAGAAATTAACAACATGTTATTACAGGCTATAAAAGCTTAACAGCTATTAAATGCCACCAACAGGCCCTGATAATTACAATTATACATTAGAGGGCTGCTATCTTTCATGGACAAACAACAAATACCCGTACTACAAATGTACATGTTAAAGTATCTTGGAGAACCTAACCAGTAGTGTAAGAACAGAATATACAGAATAAGCATTAGCAAAGACCAAAGTGTTGGCCATAATCATCTGGACATAACACTGATCCACAAAAACTTAAGGAAAATGTTTCCCATAGATGGCATGCCAAATATGCAATTTCCAAACTACATGGAATGAAAAGCTTTCAAAATTGAGAAATTTAGCAGAGGAATTCAAAATCATGTGTGAACAGGATGAGATACATATCAATCCTTGTTGTCCTACTATTGACATCGTAACAAAGATGCTTTCAGTAAGCCTACAGAAGGATAAATTTACATCTAATACTTTTATTCAACTACAGAAGGCAATTATTTTATTCACATGTGTAATAGTTCATAGGACACTAACTATAAAATAAGAATAGCAGGATAGTTAACTTGTTCTAAGGCCTTGTCTACCTGAACTCCTCTGCAAAATCTGGGAACAAGATCATAATTAACAATTCATAATGACAACAAAAATGAACTCTAACGGTTTGCAAAGTTCCTTACATGAATTGTCTTATACAGCTTCATAACCATTCTATGATGCAGGTACTACATTTTACAAATAAAGAAATTAGAAAGCATTAGGATGAATGAGTGAGCATAGTGTTGTGGGGGAAACTGGATTTGGAGCCAGAGATTTCAGTTCTATTCTATATGACCTATGCAACCTCAGGCAAGCCACCATATCCCTTGACCTAACTTTCTTCCTCTATTAAAAAACAGGGGAGAAGGGGGAAAGGGATATGATTTTATAATCTCTAAGTCCCCTTGCAGCTATAGGATCCTGGGCTGAATCCTATGAGCATCTAGCACAATATCTTGCTCATATTACGCATTTAATAATCATTTGCTGAATAATATTACAAATTTAAGTCATCTTAGAGAAGCCACCTATAAAAAGCTTGAACTTCAACACACTATGTCTGACTGCACATATATAATATTCTACTCTATGGCTCCCTAACGCTACAATGGCAGGAAGTACATTTTCCTTAGCTTTTTTAAGGGGCAAGGTTAGTCATTATAATTTTAGAGAAAACTTTAATTTCTAAAGAATATTTAGAATAAGTACTTAAATGAGGCTCAAATTCAATTTTTGTTGTTATTGTTGTTTAGTCTTTCAGTCATGCCCAACTCTGTATGACCCTGTGAACTTTGTCCACGGGCGGTTTCTTGGCAAAGATACTGGAGTGGTTTGCCATTTCCTTCCCCAGCTCATTATACAGATAATGAAACTGAGGCAAACAAGGTTAAGTGATTTGCCCAGGGTCACATAGCCAGTAAGTGTCTGAGAGTGGATTTGAACTCAGGTCTTCCTGACTCCAGGATTAGCAATCTATCTACTATGCCACCTAGCTGCCCTTCCAATTCAATTGGAGTACAGTTCACAACAAATATGAATCGGGAATGGGATAAAGGAACACTCTCGCTTTAAAATATAAAGGGACTGGGGTAGATAAATCTTACTGCTCATAATGTGAATGCCCCAATACATATACATGGAAACATAAGCCTAATTTCCAATTTTCCCCTTTGTTCAAGCAGCTAAAAAATAAACAAGACCATAGAATTTTCCTCAAGAAGCTAGGATAAACACATAGTATTATGGTCTTTGGTAAGGTGTTACAGTATTTGAGAATAACTGGAAGCTGAAAAATAGGCAAAGAAAATCATCAATAAATATTTACTAAACACTTATACTTTGGCCAGGTCGTATGCTAATCACTGGGCAAAAGACAGTTGTCCTCAAGGAGCTCACAATCTAAAAAGGGAAGCAATAAACAAATATGTATAAACAAGCTATATACAGGATATATAGGAATTAACATAAGCAAGGCACTATAATTAAGAGGGATTAGGAAAGGCTTCCTGTAGAAGACAGGATTTTAGCTGGGATTTGAAGAAAATCAGGGAAGCTCGTAGGTGAAGACGAGGAGGA